TTCCATGATTTCAAATCAGTAAATTTCTTCCCTACAAACTCCACCACTTGTCTTCCTAGTGCCACTCTGAGATCTTCTGGTAGTATCTAAATCTTGCCAAGGACCAAACTCATGATCCTCTTCCTTCTAAGAGACAGCACCACGAGAGTAGCCAGAGGAAGGAGCAGTGTCCAGCCAATGCTTGTACTCCTCACTGAGCACAGAATGCCAGACTAGCGGCTGGGTCGGAGAGTAGCTGGCACTAGTCTAGCTCTGGCAACCTCACAATGAGGACAACAGTTTGTCCTTTAAAAGCCATTCTGCAGCCACTCTTAAAATATGCTGGGCATTCCAGACCAATTCTATTAAATGGCTCACAAAGTTAACTGGAAACAGGAAACGTGCTAGTCTGTGATTTCTAATACTTACAAAAACTTCTTTGCTTCCAAAGACAAACTTTCAAAACAATTACAGTGTCTCAGTACTCCTGGCAATCAGGGAATAAGAAAAGATGCCAAATAGATCTCCCTACCTTAAAGAAGCTTTCCATCCCCAGAAAATACCACCAAAACAAAAAAATCCTAAGACTTGTCAGTCAACTTGTTGCCTGAGTTAGATGAGTCAAGACAAAACACTGGGCTCTTTCCTGTCTTTTATTTTACTGAAAGCTAGTGTTACATGTCGCTTGAGGACACACCCTGGCTGCCAGTTGGGTTGAAATCAATAATTAATAAGCACTAATTCACTAAGAAGAGGTCCAAAATGAAAGAAAAAATATCACCTAATTAAATTTCAGTAATTTGTCTCCTGGTTGTTATAAAGAAACACAAGACACTTTATTAAATATGGGGAATAAGATATGTTTGATTCAAGTAAGTATTACAAGATAGATTTGGTATCATCACCTGAGAAGGAAAAAAAAATTGACATCATTTTCCAGAGACTTGGTTTAATTTCCTTGTAATGCTACCAGTTTTCTGTATTATCTTAGGTAAGTCACCTCATTTGGTTTTGCTCCAGGCTCTCCTCTACACAATAGAAATCTCTTCTATCTCACTGGCACAATGTGATGATAACTGCATCAAAATGAAAGTACCCAAATGTTACAGAAAGAAAAGACACATCTATAGCACAAATGTATCTGGATATGTATAAAGTACATCTACACATGCTTACTCTAAGTCCAATTTATATTTATTATATAGTTCTGATTTCTTTTGTGTTACATGTGCTGTCCTTCATTCTGTTCTCTTGCATTCTGATGCTTTAGGCAAAAATCCCCTAAGATAAATTTCTCAGCAGGTTTTACAATGGAATTATCTCACTGTTTGTTTTGCTGCAGTTTTCAATCTCCTTTTTCTGTTCATCTACAAAAATGCCAAAATTAAAGCAGAAAGGCACAGTCTTGCCACGTGACCATATTCACGCTGTAAAGCACTTACTGTCAACCTCCTCCAGGACAAATTACTTAAGAGCAGAGATACTTAGAAAAATTATTTCAGGTAGCAGAGTAACTTCACATTTGCCAAGGAGGTCACTCAGCTCTAGTGCCAGCCAATACTTCTGGAAACTAAGTCATGAGGAAATATTTGAAGTGCACCTCTTTACAGCACCTGTGCTGCAAGGCACAGCATCTCAGCATCGTCTGGCCAATTTTCATGTGTCAGAAAACTGTCAAGTCTTCTAATTTATCCAGAAGATAACAATAGGCTTGGAGTCAAGGGACTAAAACCCTGATTAGCAAGAAGAAACTGAGGACAGCACAGAGCAAAGGGGCTTCAGATAAAGTGCAAGAATTCCTGTGGGAATCTCAAGCCAGTATAAATTGGCATACCACTGCAGAAGGCTCATGAGTTTATCATATAGCAGTAATGCTCCTTCTGCTTTTCTTTCCTAAGTTTTATGTAACATGCTCTTTGCTCATGTTCTTCTTAAATTAAACCAAACTAATTTCAAACACCTACAATGATTACATTTAATTTTTCAAAATGTATATAATGATGGAAAGTGATTATTTACACTTTTACAGACAACAGATATATTTCTTTCTACCATGGTCATTAGATGATGTAATATTTAGGGTGTGACACTTCCTGAGTTCTTGTTCAGTTTTTTATAATAATAATGATAATCACAATAATTTTGCAGGATAACTTTGTACGCGTAAAATACACATGCAGATAAACACTTGAAATAGTCCAACTAACACTTTGAAACCTGTAAATCATGGGAAGGAAACCCGCTGATACAACTCAGTTGCTGAAGAGTTACAAAAGGAAAAATTACCATGACGAGAGAGCCCAGCTCAAGAATGCCAACCCACCTGGTCTCCTTTGCCACCATGGATAAGTGCTTTCCAGTTTACAGAAAGAATACAGGATTTACATTCTTTAGCACTTTTATGGAGTGTTAAAAGATACCCTAAAATGGAGTGCTTTCTTCAAGTCTTGCCTTTGTAGGTACCCTGGATACATATAAAAAGGTTCAGCTTATTCACTTAAGACCCTGGTGTGATTTTACACTTCCTTCTTTTTGAGAACTTTTGGTGACCTCACTACAGAATTTGAGTAATATACTGTTTCCAAAAAGTCTGCTACTTTTTCAATTTCCTTTTTTTTTTTTTGTAATTAAAAAATAAACGAAAGCTTGGCTTATGCCAAGCTAGTTTATTAGGGAACTTTTAGTCCCTGCATGATCTATAAAGCACTTGCTAGTTCAGAAATATTTTTTGAAAAAAACTTGCTTTATCTTTTTCAATAATCTTTTTTAAGACTTTGAGAAAAATTTTCCAAAATGGCATGTGATTTGAGGGTTCCAAATATGAGCTTATTATTATTATTTTTAAAAAATCAGTAAATTAAAAAACCCTACCTAGGACAAATTCCTTAGTTAAAATATCTTCATTAGTCCCTGAAGGCTAAAATTTTTGTTCTGCCAAAATGCTGCTTTGCCCTATCACTGTATAAACAAGAAACGTTACACACAGCCTGACCACCCCAGCCCTACTCACAAATGCAGTGTCTGGTCTGAACAGTTTCCTCAGTATACGCCTACACTAGAGATGAGAGACTCCTTAGAAACCACAAACTGGCTCGGCAAGACAGTTCCAATCTCATTCAAATTTATTAATGTTGAGACAACTAAGCGTCCTCATCACTTTAAGACATACAAGTGAGATCAGAATCAACAGATCCCTGTTAGAATACAAAAGTCACTGTGGCAAGTGTACAGTCACAGGAGAATTTTCTCCTAGGGGCACAATGAATGAGGAAACACTAGTATTTCTCCCTGCTCAAATCCAAGAGCCCGGTGCTTTTGCCAAGATCTGTGCGAGCTGCGGAATCAGAAGCAGCACAGGACTGGACTCCAAATCACTAGACAGACCTAACACACTAAAATCACAACTGCTGCTACGGGTCAATCAAAAGAAGAAATAATCCTGGAAACAAGCATTTGCAAAACCTGACATTCAGGAACTTCTGTAGAAATTTACCCATAGCTTTTTAAAACAAACAAACAAAAACCCAGACAAACAAACTAACAACAACAAATAAAACCCAACAAAATACCTTTACCTCTAGCAAATAAGGGTGCTAAGGCATCTGCTATCTCTCTTTCTACAAATAAATATAGCATTTTCTCTAGAACTTTTTTTCAGGGTAAGGGCAAAGGGCAGGCAGGGATAATATTCATTGAATTGCAGGAAGATGATACTTGTCGTGTTCCCTGGCCTAGCCTATAGTTAGTTAAACACGTTTAAGTAACTGATATGCTTAAGGTAACACTTACCTGAGAGGTCAGGAACATTCAGAAACGTTAATGTACACTTTGACTCTCTCCTGGCTATCTTTGAAGTACATAATGCTAAAGGATCAAACACTGCTTTGGATTTTGAAGAACAATTTGCAGGATCTAATTGAAATACAATTATGTTTGAAAAGAAAACAATTACTTCTGTTTTCAAAACAAGCCCTCTGGTTTCACATCTCAAAGAATTAATTCAATAAATACAATTCTGCTTGTCTGATTTTCATTTTAAATGCATTTAAAACTGCATGATCATAAATAAAAATTCTTAAAATACCGCATAATAGTGGAATAATTTATGCTTTCTAACAGAAAAGCAAAATACGATCTAGATAGCGAGTCTAGTACCAAATTTAATTAATTGACTACAATCAGTTCCATGACTAACAGAAGTACGCATTTCTTAAAATACGTTTCTCGTGCCCAGACAAAATGTATTTATAGGAAAATCGGCGCATTCAAGAAACAGAACGTGTTTGGTAAACCTGTTTGTTTCCAATTCCATGGCACAGATTCCTGCGGGCCGCCGGCGCCCGCGAGCTGGTCCCCACCGCCCGGCAGGGCGCTGGCTCTCAGTGTGACACCGGGCCGAGCGGCTGATAACGCACCTTTACACCTCTTTAAAACTTTTTTATTTTTCCCCCGTCCCTGGTTTTGTCAAAACTTCCAAAAAATTGCCTGTTCTACACGGCTTAATTCTCCTTTTGGCAGGAGGAGCCGGGTCCTCCACGCCTTGATATCCTGCAAGGCAGGGCGTGTAAAGAAATGGGTTGCTGCCTCCCGAGCTATCGCTGCTTAGGAGGATGGGACCGCTCGCCTTCCTCCCAAAACTTGGAATTTCAGACTTTCCCGGAGCGCCTGTTGGCGGCAAAGCTTCTACCACCTCTTGAGGCTGCGGGACGTCTAGAGCTGAAAGAACTGCGATTAGGGGCGTTTAACAGCACCCGACGCGGCCATCACGGGGCTCTGCCGCGCTCCGCACCCACAGGTGCGCCGCCCGGCGTCCCGCACCACCCGCTCCTCGGCGCCCCGTGGCCAGCGGCAGGCGAGACCCTCGGCCGGAGCCCCGGCCGCACAGTACCGGGCGGGGCTCCTCGGGGCGGCCGCGCCTCTCCTGCCGCCGTCTCCGCCGTGCGGAGCGCGGGGCCGAGCCCTCGGCAAGCCCCTCGGTGCCGTCTCCCCGGCGGCAGGACGCGGGAGGGGCCGGCGCTCACCTGTGGCTGCCGGCGGGAAGATGCCGCCTCTCTCCGCCGCCGCGGCCCGCGCTGGCGGGCGGCCGCCGTCCGCCGCCGAGGGGTTAAGCACTTGGAAAGCCCATCTTGCCGGGAAGGGAGCCCCTGAGGGGTTGATTTGTTCCGCCGCGGGGCACAGCTTGAGGGGCACGGGGTTGGCGGGGAGGGGACGGAGCTGGGCAGGGCTCGGAGCCCCGGCCCGCAGCAAGTTCTCGATGAGGAAACTTTTGCCCAGGTTGCCGAAGCCCGGCGCCGCCGGCAGGTTGAGGAGAGCCGAGGAGCCCACCAGGTCCCAGTAAAGGGCGCTGGGCAGCATAGCGAGAGTTTGTACCTTCCTCGCCCTGCCCAGCCCGGCCCGGCCGCCGCGGCCCCTCACTGGGCTGGGACGGGGCGCCGGGCTGTGGGGCCGGGCGGGCTGGCGGGGCGCCTCCCCGAGGGCTGTGGGGAGCGGAGCGGAGGGCTCGGTGAGGCTGTCCGTGGAGACGCGGCGCCTCTCCGCCGGGCTGGAAGGTGTGTCCAAGCGCATTCATTATGTCAGCCGGGGACGAGGAGTGATGGACGCGGCCAACAATGCCGCCTTGCCCAGCAGCCCCCCGGGGCGGGGGCAGGGCGGCGAGCCGAGGTGGCTGTCCCGCCGTGCCCGCCCCGACATGGCGGCGGGTCGCGTCTCCCGCTGAGGGTGCACCTGTGCGAGGGGACGCCAGGGGAAGGGAAAGGCCGCTGGCCTCCGTCCCGGCGGGGAAGTGGCTCCGGTGCTGGCCGCGGAGAGATCATGTCGACCTAATGATCCCATGAGGTAATGGGAAGATAGTCATTAGCTCACTCCCTCTGGGCATTTTTATCTGGCCTTTTTTTTTTTTCCCTTTAGCTACCCACACACAACATGCACGCTGGATTTTCAACATTTGTCTTAATAAATCTGATTAAGATCAGCACAGTACTGTTAATCATGTTTTTCTCGAGATGTTGGATGAAGCTTTGTGTGGGCATAAACATTCTTTGTCCGGAATTGCTTAGTCCATTTCTACTTCCTGGCATGCATTCTTCATTATTTGCTTACAAATCACGTAATATGGCAAAGATGTCTCATTTTGCAGTTCAAACATGCATGCAGAAAGTTAGAATTGAATGCTGTTCCAAAGTCCTGAAAGCATCTTCCTGTTTTGCAGCTGTTCACCAGTCTAATCTTGAGGATATTCCCTGCAATACCCTCTGGAGGAGGTGCATTCCTTATTTTTGTATAGCAGCAGAGCATAACCCTTGGACACCAGGGTGGTTCAAAGCTAAAACCAGCTGGACTAGTGGAATCATCTTTGCCCTTGGACGAGAAATGGCAAGGATGTCTTAACTGCTGTGGTACTAAGTAATACCTTGGGGAATATAAATTAGATGCTCACATGTCTGAATCTTTCATTTACATCTTTGGGTAGGTTGACCCTGCTAGAGTTTTGGCACTTAATTCCATTGGCACTAAGATGTGGTGAATGGAAGCCTAAGAGCTGATAAGGCTGCTTCATGCCAGAGACCGATGTAGCTTGACCTTTTTGTCACAGCAGTGGCTGTGAGCAGGAAGAAGTCCAAGATGAGTCTGATAGTTTTGCTCTGATGCATTCTCATAAGTGTTCTCAGCCTAAACAATTTCCACAGCTTGTGCACTTATATTTGCAAATCTGAAGGCCTTCATCAAAATATATTAATGCAAGTATTTTACTCATGGGCGTTTTGAGACTCTTGCTTCTTGCTGTAGAATGGACAGAATCCAAGCTGTGTATCCCAGACTTTATCTGAAGCTACTGTGCATTGTTGTAGTATAAGGTACAGAAATTATGTTTCTAAGGGAAAGAAACAAGTCAGGAGGGCACTAGCTTTTGAGCATTGCAAGTAGCTGCCTTTCCAATTACCCCTCATAAATTTATTCACACTTAAGGATTTATTTTGTCTTTCATTTCACTGATCAAATTCTCAGAGAATTCCCAAGGGCCCGAGACACTGAAAACCATAATTCAACACTTGGGATGTGCAGTTAGTCCATCCAGCTGTGCTGCATGAATAAAAGGTGTTCACCAGGGAAATGATGGCTGTCAGAGACTGTAACCTTCAAAGAGAGACTTGGGTTTTGGTTTCCTCCAGGGCTACTTTTGATGCCAGAGGGCTACTAATGTGTTAATCTCAGCTGTGTAGTTTGGTAAAGTATGATCAGCAGGTTTCATGTTTCTATGAAATATAAGAACAACACACAGAAATATAGCTCTACACACAGAAATATAACACAACATACTTCTGAGTTGGAAGGGGCCCACAAGGTTCATCAACACATGTAGCACTTGACTGCATGGAAGAGAGTAATCAACCACATGATGAGTTAACAATTCATGTCAGGTTGCATCTCTAGTTCCAGGGTTTAACCCATACCTTACAGTGTGTGTTTAAGCAGTCTCTTTCTTCTCTCTGATTTTCATCTATCAGTGGCACCTCTCACCCATGATCTGACTATGCTGTCATAGCTGTACTAAAAACCCATCAAATCACAGGAGTCAGGTTTTAAATAAGACAGGAAATACTGTTTTTCAAGAGATTCCCAGTGGAGACCTCAAACTGGTTGTGTGATGTTAAGCAAAGGTGGTAGAGCAGAATAGTGAAATGAATTCATTAAACCAGGGCAACCTGTGAGCATTGGTCTCTGGGACACACTTCTGCAGCTCTCCTGAGCAGTAGCTACCAAATTCTGTCTGTCCTCTGTGATAATCGAGTACAGTCAGGCCCAAGAGTTGTTACCTGTCAAAAGCTGGAGAGCACAGCACAAGAAAATGTAAATTCCCTGTTCAGATCTGGAGTATGGAATTATTTGAGAGTAAAACAAGTGGCATCACTAAAATCCGGATCCTTTCTGGTGAATGCAGCCTGGAATTGCATGACAAATGGATCCATTAGCCATGGATGTGAAAAGTTTTTGGATGTGTATTATCCAGATACTTTCAGAAAGTAGAGATGACATTCACATGATTAGTAGCTCTTAGTTATTTTCATTTGATTGTGCAAACTTGGAAAGTACTTGCACTGCATTTGGATTTTGTCAATTTACTAATTTACCTTAATCAGACTAAAGGAGAAGAAAGTTTGCCTTCACTGGGTATTTTGACTTGTATCAGGTGTTTGGAAAACATGAAGATACACTTCTCAGGCTGCAAAACTTAAAAAAGGTGCATTCCTTATTTGTACATGAAACATACATGAAATTCTCAGTACTCAGTTAAGCCTTCCCTACTCAGAGGACAGTCTTACTGACAGGGCAGACAATTTATGTAACATACCAAGCACAAGATCTGTGCAACTACAGCAAAGTCTCCCTAACAATCCTTCTACATCAGCTCTGCCCTTTCTCAGATAGCATTTCCATCCTTGATAGGAATTTCCTGATGCTTAATGGCAAGAATGTATATTAGCAGCATCTACTTTTTTTTTTTTTTCCAAATTCACATACATATGGTTTTTCTGCAAGCTTTTTTTTATTTTTAAGGTTTAAACAGCTAACGTTTAGGTCTGTATTCAAGTAAATCCCCATCTCAGGCCTTTATCCTCATGGTGGACTTCAGCTTATTAGATGTCTGCCAGAAATGCAAAACAGCTTAGAGGAAACAGTCAAGGAGGCTCCTGGACTGTGTGGAAGGTAGCTTCCCCACACAGCTGGTGAGTGTGCCAGCTGGGGAAGCTGCCCTGCTGGACCTGTTGTTTGTGAACAGAAGAGGACTGTAGGTGATGTAATGGTCAGCAGCAATCTTGGGCACAGCAGCCATTAAATGATAAGACGTTCCTATTATTGGAAAACTAAGGAGGAGCTCAGAAGAATTGCTGTCTTGGACTCCCAAAGCCTTGGCAGGCTTTCTCCTTTTTAGGAGCCTCATTGGTAGAGTCCCTTGGGAGGCAGTCCTGAAGGGCAAAGTATTCCAGGAAAGCTGGATGTTCCTCAAGAAGGGACTTTTAAAGACACTGATGCAGGCTGTCCCCATCTGCCAAAAGACTGGGATGGCTGAACAGAGAGCTTTATCTGGAATTCAGGAATAAAAGGAGAGTTGATTACCTTTGGAAGAATGGCCTGGCAGCTCAGCAGGACTACAAGGACATCATTAGGTCTTGCAGGGAGGAAATTGGAAGGACCAAAACCCAGCTAAGACTTAACCTGGCTACTGTAAAAGACAATAAAACTGTTTCAATAAATACCTTTGTGACAAATGAAGGAAGCGCCATGGAGGCTCTCCATCCTTTGTTGAATGGGAGGGGAAACACAGAGAATGAAGAAAAGGCTGAGGTACCCAATGCCTTTTTTGCCTCAGTAGTAGTAGTAAGACCAGCTGGTCTCTGAGAACCCAGCCCCCTGACCTGGGAGACGGGCAGAGAGCAGAATGAAGCCCTTGTAATCCAAGGGGAAATGGTCCATGACCTGCTACACCACTTAGACAGACACAAGTCTCTGGGGCTGTGTGGGATCCACCCAAAGGTGCTGAGCTGCCCGTGGCTTGGACAGGTGCACTGTTTGCAGGGTAAAATATTGGCTGCATGGTAGGGCCCAGAGAAGGATGTTTAATGGAGGCCAACCGGTGGCCAGTCATGGGGGTGGGGGTTCCCAGGGCTCAGTATTGGTGCCAGTCCTGTTTAATATCTTTATCAATGATCTGTACAAGGAAATTGAGTGCACCCTCAGTCATATTCCAGGTGACATGGAGTTGGGTGGAAGTCTTGGTCTGGTGCAGGGCAAGAAGGCCCTGCAAAGGGATCTGGACAGGTTGCATTGATGGGGCAAAGTCAATTGTATGAAGCTGAACGAGGCACAAAGTGCTGGGTCTTGCTTTCGGGTCACAACAAGCACATGCAAGAGCTACATGCTTGGAGGAAGAGTATCTGGGAAACTGCCTGACAGAAAAGGTCCTGGGGGTGCTGTTGAAGGGTCACAACAAGCACATGCAGCACTACATGCTTGGAGGAGGAGTATCTGGGAAACTGCCTGACAGAAAAGGTCCTGGGGGTGCTGTTGAAAATCCTGATAAACATGAGCCAGCAGTGTGCCCAGGTGGCCAACAATGCCAGTGGCATCCTGGCCATTATCAGCAAGAGTGTAACCAGTAGGGCCAGGGCAGTGATTGTCCCTCTGTGCTTGGCACTAGTGAGGCCATACCTCGAGTGCTGTGTCCAGTTCTGGGCCCCTCACTACAACAAGGACATTGAGGGGCTGGAGCAGATCCAGAGAAGGGCAACACAGCTGGTGAAGAAGCTGAAAATTAGTTCTTCTGACAAGTGGCTGAGAGAGCTGGGATTGTTTATCCTGGAGAGAAGGAGTCTCAGAGGAGACCTTATCACTCTCTCCAACTGCCTGAAAGGAGGTTGTAGCAAGGTGTGGGTCAGTCTCTTCTTCCAAGTAACAATCAATTGGACTAGAAAAATTGGCCTGAAGTTGTGCCAGGGGAGGTTTAGATTGGATA